AGGAGCTTTAACCTCATCAATATCAAAGATGGCCTATTTTATTTCCTTATCATCAATAGGACGGACCATAAAATCAGCTTGATCCTTGGAAAGCTTTTTGAAAAATAGAGATGTGGGATCACAGATAACTTCAACATTAACACGGGCGCCAAGCATTTTCTCAAAATGTATCACAAATTGTTCAGCAACAACTGCCCGCATATATCTATTTCCCCCGAAATCCTCAATCTCATCGATTCTGTCTTTATTAGTTCTGCTTTTGACAACATTATGGAAATACGTCGTGTTAGCATCTCCTTCTTTTAACCATTGAATTTTAGCTCTTTGCCTCAGAAGACGTTCTTCATCAATTATAGCACTCTTTAAGGCCTTCAAATAAACAGTAGCTTCCATGTGAAATTACCATTTTCTGGGTCAGCATCCAAATCATTTTGAGCTCTACCCAGCTCCATTCTCAGCTTCTTAACATTTCCAAAAACATTCCCATGATCATTATTTAATTTTCTCAATCCTTTTTTGACATTCTTCAACTTTGAAATCACAGAGTACATACAACATCTCTTTACATCATTACTCCAAACCTTTTCAATCAAAGGCACAAAATCAGGAATATCCGCCAGATGATTATTAAACTTGAATGGCCTAGGCTTAAGGGATAGATGATCATCAAAAGAAATAATAGCTGGACTATGATCAGAAACACCATAAGGGAGGAAAGTTGCATGAGCAGAGGGAAAAGTAGCCATAAAGCTTAAGTTACCGAACACCCTATCCAATTTTTTAAGGAGACCCCTCTGTCCTATCTCTAACATCGGCTTCTGAATCCACGTGAACTTTATACCAGATTGATTAATGTCCTCTAACTCAGCTTCATTTACACAATCTCTAAAATCAGACATTCCTCTCGAGATCACAGACGAGCCTCTGAAACTATCATCCGGATTAAGGCCAACATTAAAGTCACCCAAGACAACCCACGGGTCATTTTTAAGAAATTTGTTATGCCTCCTGATAGAATTCCATAAATCCCTTCTTTCAGTAACATCATTTGCATCATAAACCACAGAGCAGTGGAACTTCTGGTTAGAATCCATATCAAGAAAATGACCATGAACAACTTGACTGCAGAAATCAAAAAATTCCATTTTGACCTTTCTAGGGTCTCATCCAACAATGATTCTGGTTCTTCCACAACAGACAGAGTTATTTGAAACCCAATCCTAGTTACCAAAAATACCATTGCATATCTCCTATAGTTTTCCAGAGCGGACCTTCGTTTCAACAATGGAACACATAACTAACTTATTATCAGCAATTAAATTCTTAACCTCTTTTCTTTTAGAGACCAAGTTAAGGCCTCTAATATTCCAAACAACAAATTTAACCATGGATATCACCTTTGGGTTTGACCAATCTATCTTCACCCCTCCTTTGGTCATCTTCTTCAACATGCATAAAATCTGGAGCATCATTCTTACCATGAACATTTTCAAACATCGAGTGTTTTCTAAAGTATTTTGTTTGCTCCTTGGACCAGGCATTAAAAACAGCAACAGGTGGATTTTCACCACGTTCAAGAAATGGTTTTTTGATGAGGAAGCTGTCAATTTTGAACGTGGTGAAAATCAAAAAACCATTTCTTGAACGTGGTGAAAATCTGGAGCATCATTCTTACCATGAACATTTTCAAACATCGAGTGTTTTCTAAAGTATTCTGTTTGCTTCCTCATCAAAAAACCATTTCTTGAACGTGGTGAAAATCCACCTGTTGCTGTTTTTAATGCCTGGTCCAAGGAGCAAACATAATACTTTAGAAAACACCCGATGTTTGAAAATGTTCATGGTAAGAATGATGCTCCAGATTTTATGCATGTTGAAGAAGATGACCAAAGGAGGGGTGAAGATAGATTGGTCAAACCCAAAGGTGATATCCATGGTTAAATTTGTTGTTTGGAATATTAGAGGCCTTAACTTGGTCTCTAAAAGAAAAGAGGTTAAGAATTTAATTGCTGATAATAAGTTAGTTATGTGTTCCATTGTTGAAACGAAGGTCCGCTCTGGAAAACTATAGGAGATATGCAATGGTATTTTTGGTAACTAGGATTGGGTTTCAAATAACTCTGTCTGTTGTGGAAGAACCAGAATCATTGTTGGATGAGACCCTAGAAAGGTCAAAATGGAATTTTTTGATTTCTGCAGTCAAGTTGTTCATGGTCATTTTCTTGATATGGATTCTAACCAGAAGTTCCACTGCTCTGTGGTTTATGATGCAAATGATGTTACTGAAAGAAGGGATTTATGGAATTCTATCAGGAGGCATAACAAATTTCTTAAAAATGACCCGTGGGTTGTCTTGGGTGACTTTAATGTTGGCCTTAATCCGGATGATAGTTTCAGAGGCTCGTCTGTGATCTCGAGAGGAATGTCTGATTTTAGAGATTGTGTAAATGAAGCTGAGTTAGAGGACATTAATCAATCTGGTATAAAGTTCACGTGGATTCAGAAGCCGATGTTAGAGATAGGACAGAGGGGTCTCCTTAAAAAATTGGATAGGGTGTTCGGTAACTTAAGCTTTATGGCTACTTTTCCCTCTGCTCATGCAACTTTCCTCCCTTATGGTGTTTCTGATCATAGTCCAGCTATTATTTCTTTTGATGATCATCTATCCCTTAAGCCTAGGCCATTCAAGTTTAATAATCATCTGGCGGATATTCCTGATTTTGTGCCTTTGATTGAAAAGGTTTGGAGTAATGATGTAAAGAGATGTTGTATGTACTCTGTGATTTCAAAGTTGAAGAATGTCAAAAAAGGATTGAGAAAATTAAATAATGATCATGGGAATGTTTTTGGAAATGTTAAGAAGCTGAGAATGGAGCTGGGTAGAGCTCAAAATGATTTGGATGCTGACCCAGAAAATGGTAATTTCACATGGAAGCTACTGTTTATTTGAAGGCCTTAAAGAGTGCTATAATTGATGAAGAACGTCTTCTGAGGCAAAGAGCTAAAATTCAATGGTTAAAAGAAGGAGATGCTAACACGACGTATTTCCATAATGTTGTCAAAAGCAGAACTAATAAAGACAGAATCGATGAGATTGAGGATTTCGGGGGAAATAGATATATGCGGGCAGTTGTTGCTGAACAATTTGTGATACATTTTGAGAAAATGCTTGGCGCCCGTGTTAATGTTGAAGTTATCTGTGATCCCACATCTCTATTTTTCAAAAAGCTTTCCAAGGATCAAGCTGATTTTATGGTCCGTCCTATTGATGATAAGGAAATAAAATAGGCCATCTTTGATATTGATGAGGTTAAAGCTCCTRGGCCAGATGGTTTCTCGGCTAGATTTTTCAAAAAAAGCATGGCTTGTTATTGGAAAAGAAGTTTGTGATGCTGTCCAGCAATTTTTCTTCAATGGAAAACTCTTGGGTGAAGTGAATGCTACAGTGATCTCTCTTGTTCCAAAGTCTCAGACTCCTAAGAATGTTGCTGATTTTCGTCCCATTGCATGTTGCAATGTCTTATATAAATGTATAAGTAAAGTGTTGGTTGGAAGATTAAAAGATATGTTGGGCTATCTAGTTGATACAAACCAATCTGCCTTCATTCCTTATAGGCAGATTAGTGATAATATTTTGTTGGCCCAAGAGTTGATGAGAGGCTATCATAGGCAAAGAGGTTCTAGAAGGTGTGCGTTCAAAGTGAATATTCAGAAAGCCTATGAAACTGTGAATTGGAAATTTCTGGAAACTATTTTGAAGAATTTTGGCTTTCATCCTGGCATGGTGGCTTGGATAATGAAATGTATCTCTTCGGTTTCTTTCACTATTTGGGTGAAGGGGGATCATCATGGATTTTTCCCCGGTATGAGAGGTATCAGGCAAGGAGATCCCTATCTCCGTATCTCTTTACTTTGGTTATCGAAGTTCTGACTTTGATGGTTAGAAGGAGTATCTAGGAGAGTGATGAGTTCAAGTACCATCCTAAGTGTGAAAAATTGAACCTTACCCATTTATGTTTTGCGGATGACTTATTAATGTTTTGCCATGGTGACGTTGCTTCGGTGATGGTTTTAAAGAATGGTTTGCTGGAATTTTGAAGAGTCTCAGGATTGTTACCTAGCATGGAGAAGAGTACGGCTTTTTTGGGGAATATTGTAGGTATTAATAGAGGAAAATTTTAAAAGTTCTACCTTTTAAAGTGGGAGCCTTCCCAGTCAAGTATTTAAGGGTCCCTCTTCTCTCTACGAAGCTTTTATCATAAGGACTGTTTGGGGCTTATAGATAAAGTCAGAGCTAGGATAAAGGATTGGAAAAATAAATGAATGTCCTTTGCTGGTCGCCTTCAACTCATCAATTATGTGTTGTCATCCATAAGCGTCTACTGGGCTTCTATGTTCTTATTGCCTGTTTCGATCATAAAGGAGATTGAAAAGATTATCAGAGGTTTTCTTTGGAATGGTCGGGACCTAGTTAGGGGAAAAGCAAAAGTTAAATGGAAAGTTGTTTGCCTCCCAAGAAATCAAGGTGGATTGGGTGTAGAGGACTTAAGAAACTGGAACAAAGCTTTACTTGCGAAACAAATTTGGAAAGTGATTGAAGCTGGTGACTCTCTATGGGTGAAATGGATACATGAGTATCGGTTAAAAGGCAGAAATTTTTGGGATGTTGGTGAAGTGCATGATGCGTCCTGCTTTTGGAAGAAGGCTATTCAAATTAGAAGCTGTTTTAGAGAGCATGTCTTACACAAGCTGGGGGATGGTAGAGACACATCTCTCTTGTTTGACTACTGGCATCTAGTTGGTCCTCTATGCAACTTAATTCCCAAAAGAGAAATCTATTCTGCTAGGATGGGTTTGAATATGAAAGTCAGGGATGTTCTCATTGATGGATTGTGGTCTTGGCCGATGGAAATATGAAACAAATATGGAGAAATATTACAACTATATTTACCTCCTCTTATTGATAGTACCAAGGACAAAGTTTGATGGAGATGTAAAAATGGCATTCCTACTGACTTCAGTGTTGCCAATGTATGGAAAGACATTAGATTTGAGGAGAATGTGGTGCAATGGGCTAAACTGGTTTGGTTCTCTCAAGGTATCCCTAGGCATGCTTTTATTGGCTTGCCTTTAGGAATAGCCTAAGAACTAAAGACAGACTTGGGATGTGGTCTATGAATTTGGATCCTCATTGTGTTCTATCTGAAAATGGGATGGAATCTTATGATCACATATTTATAGCTTGTAAATATGCTCAAGAAGTTTGGAATACTCTAGGAGACCTCGGGGGTACTGGTGATCTAAAGAATATCCTGAAGGGTAACGGGTTGAGTTGGGATAATTTTGTGGGTTAATGAGCAATATCTCGGTTAGCAATTCAATTTGGAGTATTTTTCAAAGAATGGTCTTGGCTGCTGTGATATATTTTATATGGCAGGAGCAAAACATTATAATGCATTCTGGTGAAGAGAGGTCAGCGGATGTGTTAGCCAAGCAGATATTTGAGATTGTGAAGTTAAGATTATTGGGCCTGAAGATAAAGAACAATGCTTAAACTAGAAGGGATGCGGGTATGTGGGGTCTAAAGATGGGTGGATATGAGTTTGTCATTGCTGGGAATGATGACTGACTTTTTGCGATCTCTTTGGAGTTTGTGGCTGCTTATTCTGGGTAATCTGAGAAATGGTTGGGAACATTACTGGTGGATTAATGGCATCTACTCAGAGAAGTTTGGTCTGAGTGGAGAATGGCTAGAGAGAATTCATCCTTTGGCTTATGAGAATCCTTGGGTATGGGTCATTGGGGAGGGGCTTGGAAAACACAGTGGGTTATATTGGGAATTTACGGGGTGGACCGGGACAAAAAATTTATGTTTTACTAGCTTTTTTATATGTAGGTACTATATATCTTTGTGTTGGTCATACTGGGGTACTGGGTTTGGATACTGGGATGAAGAAATAAGGGGATGGAGGGTAGAGGAGTTAAGGTGTGTCTTGAACTTGACTAGGAGATATAAGGAGGCTTCTAAGGAGGGCTGGATATTTAAGTGGAGCCATCATTATAAGGTGTACAGGGTGGATTATGTTTTCGTGTGCATATTATGGAGGAAGGGGGCGGGTACATATTGGTCCTTTGGTGTAACCAAATCTATAAGAAAATGGCTTTATGTTTCTCTTTTAGATTTGGATTCGTTTCTTGGGCTTTGGAAGTATAATTATCACATTTTTAAAGATTGGGGGTGGTTGGAGTTTTTGAATAACCAATCCTCTGTTATGGTTATGTTTTTGATCTGGTATGGGGTGTTGTTGATTGTTTGGCCTTTTATAGTTTGGATTTCCATATTGAACTTTTGTATTTTGCATACGGAAATGGTTCTTTTGGGTTATAGGCCCTTGTTGAGTGAATTATACAATGAGAGCTATGCTAGAACTGGAAATATCAAGATTTTTGAGAGTATTTGGGGTGGGTTCTTTTTGGGGGGTGCTTTGGGATACACTTGGGATACACTTGGGTTATATGGGGGAGGAAGGGCTAAAAGAGTGTTCTGCAGATTCATTCAATTTTTGATCTTGGGACTTTGGGGTCTGGGTCTTGGGATGCTGACATAAGGGGGTGCAGGGTAGAGTTAGGATGTTACTTGAATTTGTTTTGGAGCCATAAAGAGGTCTTTCAGGAGGTTTGGTTGAGCATATGGGACCTATTTTTCTTACTGTACAGGGGTTGTTTGGTGTATAAGGGATACACTTTGCCGTGTATGATAGTTTTGGAGGTTTCTTGGGATGTCGGATTGATCACTAGGCCCAATTTTTTCGTGGTGTACAGGTCTAAAAATGTGTTTGTCTACATTCCTGGGTGGAAGGGGTTGGGTAGTTGTATGTCTCTTGGAGTCTCCAACTCTAAAAGAAAATGGTTTTTTGTTTTTCTTTTAGTCTTGGCTTCTTTTCTTGGGTACAGGAGATATGGGATTCCTATCTTATGGCTTTTTGGCATATCCTATGTGGTAGTCCTATTGTGAGCTTCAATTTCCTCAAATCTACGATTTTGGGTGTTAGGGGATGTTTACTGTCCATACCTATGTGGCTTGATGTGCTTTACCTCTTTTCCTCTTTATGGTTCAGTTGTGGAAGTAAAGATAAAGACTTGAGTATTGTCTATGGGCCTATTTCTGTATGGACTAGAACTGAAAGCTACCAGTCTGCTGCTGCTTGGTCTAAAAATGAAGTCTTTAACACTGATATTGTTTATTATCAAGTTGTTAATAACTGGTTGAGGAAAGCTTATGGGTTAAGGTGTGGTTTGGGAATTAATTGGTATAATAGAGATTGGAGGAATAGAGTTCATGGTTATGGCCCCTGCACAGAAAACAATTCGGATATTTGTTGTGGAACTTTATATGATCAAATGATGCAGCTAACCATCTACCCTATGCTGYATCACAAAGGCTGTTTACGCAAGACTAACAACCACTTCATAAAGACGATTGCTTTTTTGAGGATTGATGATGTTTGGAATCCTAATTTTTGGATTCCAAGTAACAGTTATAGAAATGGGAGGAGAATTCAACTCCAATTTTCAAAAAGACAGTGGCTTTTTTGTGCTTGTGATTGTTGGGCAAAATTTATGAATTCGACCGTGCATTTGATCTTTCCTACCTACAATTCAATGTGCTTCTGTATAGAATYAGAAATTCTCGCTATAATTGATCTTTCTAATCAACGGGTTGGCTGGATTTCATCATATTCTTGGTGGTTTGGTCGATTCATCAGTCATCAATACTTTCTCAATCGAAACCCTAGAAGCCGATTTGAAATTCTCGGGACGATTGGAACTGTTTCTGGTTTTGAGAATCGAAGAAACCAGTGGGTTTGGACGGCTGAAGTTTTTGTTGTTATGGATCCTTTGGAGATGTCGATTAGGATAGGGGCTTCGATTTGTAGTGTTGGTTCCTGGCATCGCCTTCTTCAGATTTTGGGGATGAGTTCGGAGTTTGCAAGTGATTGAACTTTAATGGTGGGCTGTCATGAAAAGGATTTTGTGTTGGGCTTCAACCCCAATTGTTATTAGTGGAGTTCGATTACAACTAGGTGGGCTAATACTACTTGTATTTGCTGGGCCATTAACTTTCAAGACTGGGCCATGAAWTATTATAAGGAGCAATTATTTGATCCCCTTAATTTGGGCCTCTGGTATGGAAGCATTGAGTCCAAGATGGCAACCTRGGCTTTTATCCCTATTTGGGTTGATTTCATGGTGGAAAAAGGCTTTGATCTTTTAATGATTAGAACTTT